TAATTTTTTCTTGGCTTTTATCAATTTGATCATCCACACCGATAGACAGTATTCCATGAGGAAAAACAGGTCTTGTTTCACACCGGGTGAGAATAGCCTACGCTGGCAAGTCTCACCCGGGGTGAGAGGTAGATCGTATTTCTATTCTCACCCCGGGTGAGAATAGCCACTTCCATAAAGAAGAGGCCTGACCCTAACCCTCAATTCTGCTGTCTCATAGAGTAATATTACAGGTTCGGTCAAAATAAGGACGAAAACAGGCACGTTGACTTTAAAGCTTTATATCTCCTAACTGCCTTGCCCTAGAGACAAACCGAAACCAGCTACAGGAAGTCATGTGATTGGATGACCCCAGGAATGACCTGTTTCAGCTTGTTCTCATGTTTGAGGCCCTTACTGGGTGCAAAAGTGACGCCCAATTTATTTACGAGTTCGGTCGCATATTTTTGGTTTTCTCATGGATTCGGGCAGTATTTTGACATTCGGTCATTTTCAATTATTATCACATTTGTTTCTTTGCAAGCTTAATAACATGATTTTTAATGTTTGTTCAACACTTGGACACAATGATAGTTTGTCTAAAGTGGTATTCACCATTTATAGCTATTTTAATGAGTATGTATCTGACCCACTCTACTTCGTGGTATCTGACTCTACTACACTGGTATCCGACTGTATTACACACTGGTATCTGACTCTATTACACTGGTGTCTGACTGAGTTAATATGCTGTATCTGATTCTACTATTATTTAAAGAAAGTGGCTATTCCCACCCGCCCGGAAGTTCTCGCAAGATCAACTCCTCCCCTCTTCTCTCTCTCTCCGTCTCTTTCTGAATACTGTCTATCGGTGTGGACGATCAAATTGACCAAAACAAAGTTAAAAAATGATGTTAAAACACAAAAGTAAATAAATTTGGTTGTCTACAAAGATGCTACGGCTATTTAACTTTTCGAATCGAGCCGAACTACGCGGGTCGCCATTTTATTTTGCCCGGAAATTCTCGCGCTACTCCTCTCTCTCTCTCCACTGCCCACAGACAAAATTGTATGCTTTTAGTAGGCTACAATTGTAATGGAACGTTTGTTCACGGCACAGAATTCTACAATTTTTCTGTTATCACAGTGTAGAATTCTGTGGTTTAGGGTGAACGCAAAATTTGGTGAACGCGCACCCGGTGAGAATAGCCACAAGACTCGCCTGCACTATTCTCACTCCGTGTGAGAATAGAGGTGGCCTTATTTAAATTATGCACAAATTCTTTATTCTTTGTTATATAACCATTGGCCTTGGCTCTATATTATCTTATGTGCCCGAAGGATGAGAAACTACGGATTTTATGTTACAATCCGGGCACCCCCCCCCCCCTTTGGGCAAAAACGGCGAGACTAAACGGCAAATTCTCATTCCAGAGATGCCAACCACAGAAAACCGAAATGAGTATTGGGAAATATGAAAATGTGTATTTTCAGGGGAAAATGTGTATTCCCCACGACCGACCGACCGACTAGTAATAGTAAAATGTTAAAGGGGTTCAGCAATATTTCCTGAAAAAAAATTACTAGATCTAGCTCACCAGCTCGAAAAAAGGAGCACACACGCGTACAATATACATGTATCCAGTCAACAACATGTCAGTGTTCAGTGTCGTACTGGGGTCTTGTTTGACTTAAATATTGCAGTCTATTATACCGCTAATATTTTCCTCTCATTATTATGTAAAAAATAAATCCTGCTTTGAGAGTTCGGAAGAGCCTAGAACAAAAATTTCGACAACCAAGAGCCAGTCTAAGTACTCTAAGTGTCATGATTCATATTATGAACTGACAGACTCAAATTATTGCTCATACTCAGAGAAAAGCGATAACTTGAATGACTCAAGTAGACCCATGCACTGTGAGAGTTGTAATAACTGTGGTAGGGCAAGATGTAGTGACACTGAAAATCTACCAGTCTTGAACAGAAAGCCACAACATACACTGTAGGCTAGGTATAATTTACTATCACCCATCCAATGAAACGCTAACACATGATTTCAATAACACAGACTTGCAAAGTTTGAAGGGTCCCGATTCCGCACACGGCCTGCACCAACAGCCAACGCGCGCTTTGCAGAAAGCTCTTATCAAAATTTTGAAATGTGCTTCCAAGTTTTTGTCCTCTGGTGTTGCCTTCACACCCTCCCCCATATCTTAAACCTCCAAAATATCAATAATCTCCTACCCTATTCCGTAGTCCTATACTTCGCAAGGCCGTTACTCCCACCAAAGACGGTCTTTGCTCACACGATGCCGCATTTATTTATGACACGAATGCGCGCAGGTTCAGTGACCGGTCACGATGGCAAGCCAGACAATCTAAAAATCGGACTACGCTTGTATTTTCTTTTTTTTCCACAAGTGACAGCACAGAGGCAAGTCCGAGCATTGATTAAATTTTATAATTTATTTGCACAGCGACCTTGCGTTTATACTGCACAACCTGCATGTCACAAAAGCTGCGTTATTAGACAACTGCTGGCAAACTACTCAAAGGCAACGAAAGCGAAAGTAGATCTTGATTTTCTCGATCGAGCCTCGGTTTTCAAATATTCCAGTTCTGCGATACTGATACTATTTTGACAAAAGATGGGACATGAGATAGGTTTACTCAATCTCGTATTTTTCGCATTCCAGGACGCATATTTTTTCATGAAAAGTCGTATTCGCGTATTTTCGGCAAAAAATCGTACTAAAATACGTAAAATCATACTGGTTGGCATCTCTGTCTTTCATCCTTGACAGGGCCTCATATGCAAATAACTCTCCAGCCTTCAGAGTCTACCAAAACGTAGAATCTAGGTCACAGGCTCCTTCATCCACAACCAATGTTAACTCTTCGGCGCTTTTTCGGTAGTTCCCACCCCCCTTATTTGATAGAGCCTGACCTACATCTAGATCTATATACGTTTGATTCGCGGCAAGCTAAGATGTCAAACCTAACAACTGCAAAACATTAAATTGTGGTAAAATTCAGGGGGGCATGCCCCCCTGAAACCCCACACCTTGTTTTTATTAGGTCAGGGGGGCAAGCCCCCCTGAAACCCCCCTACTCTTGGGGCCAAAACCGGCGAATAACAAATGCGGGGTGGGAACTACCGAAAAAGCGCCAACTCTTCCGGGGAAAGAGCTTAACACGGTTTTGCTCAGTTGATGAAGAAAAATCTGTCTTAAGGACTATTTTTAGCAAAATATCGCCGTAACTTGTTTCAATGAAAGCAAGGGAGGTTGCTTTAGGTTTGTGTGCCACTCTTTTGGGGCTAGATTTGAAAAAGTTTTAAACGATCTTTTTGTACTCCAGAGCCCGACAGCTATAAAAAAACGTGCTGCCCGAACCGGTACGATTACTGTAAGTCATGATAAGTGGTCGCTCGTTACGGAAGTCCTCCCCTCTAGATATTACTAGACTAGATCTAGAGTCTAGATCTAGGGCGATTGTCAAGATTTCCGCGTTTAATTCCGATGTGCGTTTTTCATAGCCTCAGGTATGTTTCGCTTTGGTCCCTAACCCTAACCCTGGGTCAGGGTCAGGGTTAGGGTTAGGTCAGGGTCAGGGTTAGGGACTTAAGCGAAACATACCTGAGGCTATGAAAAACGCACATCGGAATTAAACGCGGAAATCTTGACAATCGCCAGATCTAGATCTAGATTTCTAGATCTATACTTAATTTGAAAATGCCTTCAAAAGGTGTTGCGAGAAAACAAGACTGCTCGACTTTGGCAGTAACACTTAAATCTAGATGTAAATCTAACCCATTTTGGAAGGACTTCCCGTAATGAGCAACCAACTATGAGACAGAGCAGAATTGAGGGCTAGGGGTAGGGGTAGATCTAGGGTTAGGGTTAGGCCTCTTCTTTATTAGGTATTTTTTTACTTTCCCTCCCGTCTCACACTCAGCTACCAGTTGTCTATTTTCTACTAAATATTGATGCGCTGAACACGAATATCAACTTCATTTCCGTCGCAAATTAATGGTTTTTGAAATATTTGGTTGTTTTTAACCGAGATAGACATGCTTTGGACCAATCGGGGGGTTCCAGGGGGGCCTGCCCCACTTGGGTAAAAGAAAATCTGGGGGGTTATAGGGGGGCATGCCCCCCCTGTTTTTACACCCATAATTTGATATTTTACAGTTAGATTTGAAATTGTCTTGAAAATAATAGATTTGCGACAGTTTTAGTGGCTTTATGTGTGATCTGCAGCAAACAGTACAGCACTTTGACCCCTGAAACAGTGCATCTGTGTGCGGGAGTGAAAGTAAAAATTTACCCTTTATTATATTATTGTGTTTGATGGGGTGGTCGCTCATTACGGAAGTCCTTCCATCTAGAATGTAGATCTAGATCTAGATCTAGCTAGATCTAGTCCGGCAACGTTGCCCCAACCACATTTGAAGTATCGGACACGCTTCTTTCTTCTCACAGAAGATAAGGCAGACAGCACAGTGCACAGTACTGACTCTAGAATCTAGTCAACACGATTAGAAGAATGGGTTCAATGAACGTAGAATCTAGATCTACCCCATCTAAAACCAGAGGAGTAATTTCGACATAAGAGACCCATGTTGCAAAGCAGACAAAATGCACATGTGCAACGGGTTCTTGTCTTGTGTGCAGGTAATAAATTGGACCGACTGGTTGGTTCTGTTTACATACAAATCGAGAGGAAGCTCGTCCTCATCCTGATTACATACACACTTGTCCATCCGATTTTGAGGTAGACTTGCCCTTCAATAGGTCTAAAATTGAGGATGCAAAAACACAAGCTACACCTCATTACATAAACTCTTCAATACCTACGATTTCCTTGCTGCTCAAAATTCCATGCACATAGAGCTGTGCAATACTGGCGCTTTGCTACTACCTTTTCCAAGTGCGATATGCTAATGATGGCCGACATAACCCGATCTAATATGGCGGTTGAAAGATGGCTTCTGTGCAAAGCCGCTATCGGGACTTACTTTTGATGATCCTTTCTGTCGTAGACATCTTACTGTCTGTTGTGGCCATCTTAAGGCTCACAGGGCATTAAATTTGAGTGTAAGTGCCTCCGATGGCACAGGGGTATTCCGATATCACTCGATAGTTCCTCTATGGTACAACTCCAAGATGGCGTTCACAACACAACATTTGCATACACTCAGAGCCTACTGCGCATTGTTTTGCGCAACCGGGCCATCGCCCTGGGATTCCACATAGTAAGAAATAACCGATAAACCAGACGCTTCTATCACACAGCCAATTCAACGAAAAGCGCTTTTCTATTATTATTATTATTATTAATTTTGTTGTCACTTTTAATTTAGAAAAACAAACAAATAAGAACAACCATAAGAACTTTTTACTTCAAGTCATCACTATCTTCATAATCCAGTCAATGAAAATCTCCACAAAGAGGGGAAATAACGAACTAACAGTGTAGTACATTATATATGTGTGTGAGAGAGAGAGAGAGAGAGAGAGAGAGAGAGAGAGAGAGAGAGAGAGAGAGAGAGAGAGAGAGTGCGCTTCCTACGCAACGTGTTGGGTTCCCCAGTCTCGCAAGCAGTGTTCAATGAGGATTCTTGTTTCTTGTAGGTCTAGATTCTAGATCTACGCCTTGCGAAAAAGTAAGCCAGTCAATTCGGAGACGAGACGGGGCGGGATGGCGTAGCGTGACAAACAGACGTGACGAAGGCAAAAAAAAAAACAAGGCCGAAAAGTAGGGGGGTCTAGGATACACCCTAGGTGTCAAGCCACAAAATTCTACACTTAGATCTATGGAATGTTGTGTGCCAAGCCTATTTTACAAATCATATAGGCCTGCTGGCAAGGTAAACGGAATCCCTTTAATTACTTTGGGAATCTTCATTGTCAAACTCGCAGTTAATAGGCTTGACCCCCCCCCCCCTCCCCCCTCCCGCGCACGCGCGCGTGCACACTGCAAATAACATCTACGACGACAATAGTGGAAACACCAAAAGATATCTGAAGATGCTAACAATAACTTGGAAATCAGTGGAACACATGGGGATCTAGTTAATGCTAAATAAAGACTGACCAGAACTGGAAAACATGTTGCCAATAAGACAGCAGATAAATAGCCTACCTTTTTAACATGAATCTATCACTTTTGCTCGTTCAATATGAGCAGATCAACTCTTAGAAAATAACGGTTCAACAGCAGGACAAACAAAGACAAAGCTAGGCCTATTCCCTAGCAGACTAAGCCAGTGTCTAGGTCTAGTACGCGTGTATAGTTTTGCATGTATGTCTAGTTTTGCAGAATACTTACCCAAGGCGATATCTCTGCCACTCCCTTTTTTGTTCACGTTATGCAGGGAGCGGGTGTGCTTTGGAAACTAATTTATCATGAATAGTCAATTATAAGTGGTCGAGGAGGACAGCTCATGAAAACTCGTATGAAGAACCTTTAGATCTAGTCTTCGGCCTGGTTTGGAGACTTTGAAGACTGACCAAGGACCTTACATATAACCTCCTTGAGACTGACTGTGAAACAATAAAAACTTACTCGCCGCATCTCCTACTGCGGCCGCCCACCTATATTTTTCACT